TCCTTCCTTCCTTCCTTCCTTCCTTCCTTCCTTCCTTCCTTCCTTCCTTCCTTCCTTCCTTCCTTTTTTTGCATGAAAATAGCAAAATTCCTGCCTTAGGAGAAAGTGAGAACTTCCCTGGGAGCTGTACTCATTTGGCTGCTCAAGTGCTTCAGCCTGCGCTGGAGCTGAGCGCAGGCCTGCTGGGGGCTTGGCAGCAGATATAAGAGAAACCAGGAATTTGAGTGAGACTTGAACCCAGCACTTTTCAGGCAATCTAAGAAACCTTTCTCTCCTGAAGACGTTGGCCCCAGGAACGTTTTAGAGAACTGTGCCCGCGTCCCTAGCTCCATGCCTCTGCTCACAGCCTGGAGCCTGCCTTCCTTCCCATGGGCTGTGGTTTCCATTCTCCATTCCCCGCCCCTCCACTCCCCTTGCCTTTTAGATTCTTTCCTCCATCCTGTGTCCCCCACTCTATGCCTCACCGAATGTTGATGAAACAAATCTAGTCTGAAATAATGAACAATCAACTACCCTGATGCTTGGGGCAGGCTGGGCAGGGGCTGGGGGAAGGGGTGGGGAGCTGAATCATTTATAAAGCTTAATAAAGATGCAGATGAGCAGTGCTGACTAGGAACCCCAGAGCTGGGCTTATTCATTATTCAAAGTTATGTAAATGCCACTGAGTCCTGCATGTTAGAATCTTGCCCCTTGTCCCTGCTGCTTCTCAGGGGCTGACAGATCAAACCACCCTGTGCCCTCCCTCTCCCCCATGCTTGCATCAGCTTTGTCCTAACCCCGTGCCCAGATACCCATTTCAGGCCCTACCTCCAGGGTAATAAAAATCCCAGACCGTCTCTAGCCAGCAGTCTTCCAGAGGTTTTGTGGGGAGGCCCTGGCCCTCAGGTGAGCCTCTACAGGCCCAAATAGATGGGCTTCTCACTTTTTGAGATTTCCAAGGAAAGAAGTAGGAGTGCTCATATGCATGTTTTAATATCTCACAAATCTACCTGATGGAATGCATTTCCTGAAATCTAACCTAAGTCCCTCTTGTTGCACTGAAAGCCTGCCACCCAAAATGACCAAAGTCTCTTTAATCACTCTTCTGAGAAGCCAAATGCAGATATCAAGTCACTTTCCCACCTACTCTCTCCAGACTGACTTGTCCCGGTCGTCTCCTCACCTTTCTAGACAGTTGACCCTCCTTCCAAGTTAGACTCACATTCCTCAACTCCTAAAGCTGTACTGGGACACCGCGCTCTGGCGAGGGCTGAACTAACTACACTCTGAATCTCCTCTTTTCCCCGCCGTGATTGCTGATCTGCGCCCCACGATCGCCTGGCTCCCCCGACTCTCCTCACTGTGCACCAGCCCTCCCCTCTTTCCCTGCCACCCTTCACTTTTTGGTGAGGCTGAGAGATGAAGAACTGGGTCAGAGTGGCAACGGGTGGCATCGATCGCCTCAGCTCTCCCTCGTTCTCTGGCCCTGCTCCCCTCTCTCCCAGCCCCAGCCTATCTTTAGCCCGCCTCTGTCTTCCTCAGTCTGGTTGGCAACCATGCCGGCCTCTTTCTCTTCATTGCCCTTATCTCTCCCCTGCAGCCTGTGCAGACCCCAGCTGCCCTTCCAGAGGTCCCTGCCTGCCCAATTGATTTTGATTTCCTTCCATCTTGAAGATATGTAGGGTCTGCTTGAAAGGGGCTGCCTGGCCATGCTCAGGCAGAGGGGAAGCAGCCAGTTAACACAAGATGGCCTGCTTTAGCAAGTCCCTCAATATTACTGGAATCTTCAAGTTGCCCTCTGACCCCTTCTGCAGTGACTTTTGCTTTCCTCTGTGGCCATAGACTGTTCACTGCACCTCCTCTCCCCTCTATGATCCTCCCCCACCCCAGCTAAGAAATGCCCACTTCCTCTCACTTGGGCATCCTGGGCCTGTTCTTTTGGCTTAGGGAGCATGTGGCACTCTGGAGGTCCTCGCCTGCCCTCCTGGTCTGCACACTGCCAACCTCTTCCTCTCCAGCTCCTTGTCTCTCTCTGTTCTTCGCAGATCCTGTCCCTCCCCTCCACACCCATCCCACCCACTGCCACCCCTGCCCGCCTACTCTTTTCTAGGACACACGGGGCTCATCTGTAAAGGCCTTTGCCAGCTCAGGCAGGGCTTGGTAGCATCCCCCACTTGTCCTTTCTCAGCCTCTGTGAGACATTGGTCCCCTCCTCTGTCACCAACCAGCTGAATAAGGCTGGATATTTTGGAAGGGGAGCTGCAGCTGGCTGGGGGAGGAGGGTGGCACTGAGAGAAGAGGCAGAGGGAACTTCGGGCAGCCGTGGAGCAAGAGAGCACATTGCTAACACCCTTCCTCCCCAACTTTGTCACCTTGGGAGCTGCTGGGATCTTACACCGGTCCCTCTTAGCACCTCATTTTCCTCTCCCCTCAATAAGACACAAAGCCTTGCTTCATAATTCATAACATTCTTTTACATCCATGCAAATACCTGCATGGCTCACTCCTCCTTCAAGTCTGCTCAAACGCCCCTCCTCAAGGAGTGCTACCCTGACCAACTATCTGAAAGGTCAGCCCCTCCCCAGCGTTTCCTGTCCTCACCCTGCTCTGTTTTTTCCCCAAAGCACTTATCACCTGCTAATATACAATATAATTTACTTATATGTCTTCTCCTCACTGGACTGTAAGCTCCATAAGAACAGGAATTTTTAAAAATTATGGTAGAATACACATCGCATAAAATTTACTATCTTAACCATTTTAAGTGTGTGGTTTAGCAGTGTTAAGAACATTCACATTGCCATGCACCCAATCTTCAGAACTCTTTTCATTGTGCCAAACTGTAACTCTGTACCCATAAACACTCCCCTTCCTTTCTCCCCCGTTCCCTGGCAAGCACATTCTACTCTATCTCTATGAATTTGACTACTATACTCATGAGTGAAATTGTACAGTATCTGTCCTTTGGTGACTAGCTTGTTTCACTAAACATAATATCCTCAAGGTTCATCCCTGTTGAAGCATGTGTCAGAATTTCCTTCCTTTTTTAGGCTGAATAATACTCCTACCACGTTTTGTTTATTCATTCATCCATTGATGGACACCTGGGTTCTTTCCACTTCTTGGGCATTGTAACTAATGCTGCTCTGAACATGGCTGTATAAATATAAATATCTCTTCAAGACCCTGTTTCAATTCTTTCGGGTATATACCCAGAGGTGGAATTGCTAGGTCATATGGTAATTCTAGTTTTAATTTTTTGAGGAACCACCATCCCGGTTTAGAACCAGGATTTTTAACTGTTTTGTTCACTGATACATCCACGGTGCCTAGCACAGTGCCTGGCACAAAGTAGAGACTCAATAAGTATCTGTGTATTGAATGAATAAGTGAATGGTCTTATTTGGTCCTCATACGCCCCCGTAGAGGTGGATGGTATTATTATTCCCATTTTACAGATATGATTATTGCCATTTTGCAGAGGCTGAGGTTCAGGGGACCATCTGAAATCACCAGAAAAGCAGACTTGGCATGGGGGTGGCAGGATTGGCTGGCTTTTATAACTCCCTGGAGAAATCAGTGCTAACACGTGGGCCTAGGCCTTTAAGAACTCAGGCAGTAGGAGAGTAATTTCCTCTGTGTTGTGTTTCCTTTGGGAATATTCTTCCTCTTAGCCCTATTGCCCACTCTTCACCCAAAAGTGACTCCTCTTAACAAATCTGCCCCACCCAGTCGCAGCTTTTCTCTCCCCAGAGTATTTTGACTGTTCTTTGGTGTCGGCTGGGCTGATCTGTAGATTCTCCTGCTCAGGTTTCATCTGAGCGCATCCAGCCTTATTCAAGTCCCAGTTTACACCCCTCACCCCTCCGCCCACCCTGGGGTAGTTATGAGCCTGTTCCCTTCCAAAGCAATTAGTGCGAGGAGGCCAGCTGACTCGGTGCTAATGCTGTTTCATTAAGTGGGAGCAATCCTAATGATAATAAAATGGCACATTTAACATTCAAACATTGAACAGGGTTTCTAAGCGAGTGTGTCTCTCTCTTTCTCTCTGATATAACAGCTCTATCTTCATAAGGACCTGACAATACACCTTAATGAGAGACTGGGGAGCTGAGCATCTTCACAGAACCAGAGAGAGGATGAGGACGAGACAAAGAATCCAGAGAGAGGGGGTGCCATGCACTGAGGGGATAAAGACTCCAAGGATTCCTGGGGTAATGGATTCTGCAGGGCTAATTCAGACAATTAGAGCCTGTGAGAAATAAGGTCACACAGAAAAGAAAGCCCACCACGGACTCGAATGCAATGCAGTTATTTACTTGTTTGTTCAACAAAGCCTTTTCAACAAATATTTACTGTGCACCTAAGATGAGCCAGATTTTATGGTGTTTGTGATGAAGTGTAGCCCTAGTTCTAAGAAAAGGAACTACAAGGGCAGTCAGTAGTGATCTACAAGAGAACATCTTACGTATCGTCCCCTGAGCAGATTTAGTCAGATCCATCCTAAATTCATCAGATGTCCCAGTGAAGTGAATTTTAACCAGTGCTTTGGTCTCCTGAGCCAGTCCTTGTGCCCCCTCCTTATTGAGACATCCATCTCAATGGTCCTTGCCGCTCTGTGATTATAGAATATCTGATCGACCTTCTAGGAACAAGAAAGTAGTTGGGACTGGGGAGCAGGCTGGGGAAAGAAGGTAGACTCAATCATCTGGTGTTTGTGGGGATTGAAGAGAGGCAGAAGAAATCACATCTCACGGCCACTTGCTTCATCTGAAGTGTCTTCCCCAGCAGAAGGCTCCTCTGCACAGAAGGGTGGCTGCTGGCCGGGGGTCAAAGGTGGGCTTTGCCCAGGCCAAGGAAGCGACTGATTTGAAACGGTGCCAGATCATAAGATGGAGTTAATTTCATGCTTAATTCATACAGGATCTTCCCCACAACAGGAGACAGCTTGAATCCATGCCCTATGAAAAGGAGAGTCGCTTGTCAAGCATCCTCAGAGACACAGAGGCTGGGCTCTCTAGAAGCCTCCTACTTACCCAGACAGGGCTGGCTCTTCTCTTGGTCACATCCCAAAGCCAGAGTTGCCTCCCACCACAAGTACCCCTTCTCTGACTGCCCAGCCTCCTTATACACTCAATGTCCAGGTCAGCACCTATCTGGGCAGCTAAGAGTGTGGAAAATACCATTTGTCTGGCACTGAAGTAGGTTGGCTTTAAGGCCCCTTCCACCTCCCCCAGCTTGGGCTCACCAGAGAATCCAGCACCAATGACGATGTTGTTGTACTTTGGGTGGTGGTCGAGAATGAAGTGCTCATCGGGGGTGCTCTAGAGGGAAACAACATACCTGAGACCTTTGAGGATGGAGGGAGGAGGAAGAACTACAGGCTGGGATGGGAGGGGACTGGGCTGGATTTCTTTCCGGAAAGATCAGGAGTGGGGACACGGGCGTGTTTGCTGCATGCCAGTGCCCCCTCTGGGTGTGCCAGACTTCCTCATTTGTCCGTCTGCCTCTCTGCTCGTACAGAGCCATAAACACAGCAGGTGCTCAGTTAATCTTTGTAAACTAACTTTAGCCAAGATGCCTCAGGCCCTGGTGACATCTGTCTCTTCTCTTTGTCCCTAAGGCCTGCTCAACTGGAGCATCTTGCCAAAAAATCTTTTAGAGCTGTTCTGGGAAATATAGCGAAGGGCTGCCAGGCATAAGCCTAGTGTCCTAATGAAGAAGGATATGAATAACCCCTCACAGGCCCCTCTCTGGCAGGGGTGAAACTGACCCATGGAAATTAGCTCATTTGTTTCAAGTCACATACTATACCGGGGGTTGTATGAGTCAGGCTGGCCAGCGCCAGGTCTGTCTATCCCCTTTCTCTTCCCCCATTCTCCAGAGCCATGAGAGGGGCCAGCGAGGCCTCCCAGACCCCTTACCGTGTACATGCAGCGCTCCATGATGGCAGGCTCGGGTTTCAGGGCAGGTAAGTGATTGCTGACAAAGCGGCACAGGATTTGGACATCCTGCATGTCTGAAAATGCCGTGGGGCAGTCCCTCTCCTCGGGGTCTGCGTTGTTGCCGTGGTGATAGCAGACCTGGCTCCCAATCAGAGCAGTGTGAGCAGCAAGGGCCAGCCTTCCACGTGCACCCACCAGCCCAGGGCGGGCTTGCACCCAGGACAGCCCCATCTGTCATTCCAGCCTTCCCCAATCCTGACGGATGCTGTTGGTGGCCACATGAGGTTGCCTCGCTGTCGGTCCCTGCACCCACCCTGTCTGCAAAGGAAGGGCTCCCTGTGCAGGCTCCGGCTGCTGCCACCAGACCTGAGGGAGTCTGGAGGGAGAGAGAGTGACAGCACCTGCTCGCAATCTGGGTGGGCACCTAGTAGCCTTCTCTCGGCCTTTCTGCTCACCTTCATCAGCCCTGGATACTCTCCTGCGGGCAGCCCATAGACATGGTGGGGAGCCAGGCCCAGGCCCAGGAAGCACGGAAAGGCCTGGGACACACCATAGCTCCCAGGAACCTTCTCTCGCCAGTAACACACGTTGATCCGCAGGGTCTTGAGGCAGAGAGAGGGAGTGAGAGATGAGGCAGAAAGCCGTGGAACTCTGTAGCCAACAAGGGCAGTTGTTTCTGGGTCCCTTCAGTACAAGCCTGGCTGCCCCACTCAGCTCATCCAGCCCTGCTTGACCCAGTTCTCACAGCATCAGCCATTGTACACGCTGTGCCGTCCAAACATCTCTGAACCTCTATCTCTCCCCCATTCTCAGTTTCCTCCCACAGCCACACCCCAGCCCTGCTTCTCCCTCTTTCCAGGAGTTAGTAATACCTCACATTTATTGAGTGCATACTGTAAGCCAGGCCATCTCCTAAGGGCTTTACATACATCATATAATTTAATTCTCCAACAGCTCTGTGAGTTAGCTTTTACCCCCCGTGTGACAGGTGATAAAACCGAGGCTCAGTGAGGGGAACTCATTTGCCCACCACCGTCCACTAGCGAGCGGCAGAGCCAAGATGGAAACGCGAGTCCGTCTGGCTCCAAGGCTTCTCTTAACCACCCACTCGCAGGCTTCCAGCTCCTCACCTGGAGAGGCAGCTCAATTCCCAGGGGACGGAGGAGCTTGTTGGTCCAAGGACCTGCTGTGATGATCAGGCTCTTGGCTTGGTAGCTGCTGGCAGTGGTGTCCACGACGACCGGTAGCCCTGGTTGTATCCCCGTCACCTTCTCTCCATCGTGCAGTCGGCCTCCTAGCTGTCGGACTGCGTCCTGAACAGGCAGGAGCCGGGAAAGGCAAATGAGTTATGTGCATGGTTCGCCCTGCTGGACAAAGAGCCCTTCGCTCAGGGCAGAAAAGAGAGTGCAGATTCTGGACCCTCTCTTCCCTGACAAGGCCAGCAGGGTATATAAAACTGCCCTGCCCAAAAGGTTAGGACAAAGCCAGTGGGGCCAAGGCCCTCATCTGGAGGGGGGGCGGGGCTGGTTGGGACCCAGGATGCCCAGAGCGGGCAGCTGCGTTGCTCTGATGCTGTGCACTGTCACCTGGAGGGCTCTGAGGGCCTTGTCTGCATAGAGAACACCTCCACACTTGTCCAAGAGCCCCACTTCTCCTCTGGTCAACTGAATATTTGGGAAACATTGCTTCAGTTCCTCAGATGAAAGACACTTGTGTTCTATCCCATGCCTAGACAGAGTGGCCTGGGTTGTCTTTAATTCTGGATTCTCCTTCATTCCCAGCATCAGTAGTCCAGTCTGCCTATATAAAAAAAAAAAAAAAAAAAAAAAAACCACCTGGGTGAAGGTATGTATGAGGATCCTGGGCCATTTGCTCTCATTCTTCGGCAAGGGTCCCAGGTCCAGTCACTGGCACTGAGTGGAGCTGCAGCCTCCCATCAGAGAACAGGTGAAGTCATCTAACACTGAGAGTCCCCGTGTTCTCGAGCTGGTTTCCAGCCATTCCCAAGTCTGCACCGGCTCTCACTACTGGTTGCTTGTCCCTCTGTCCTCCAGCCTCAGGATCCCTCCTGCCCTTGAGAGCAGAGATCCTAAGTCCTCTTTCATGTTTCACACCTTGAGATACACCTTGAGAGTGGCAGGTGTCCCTTTGGGTGGAAAAGATTTCTTCCCCTTCTGGCCTGTCCCCTGACCCCATTCACTATTTTGATCCCTCTATTTCATATTCTCCCCTCCCCATGCCACCCTCTGCTGTTTCCTCTCCTTTTCTCTTGTCATATAATGTTTTGTCCCTTTCTGTGTGTCTGTCTGTCTCTCAGTTCCTTGTCAGAGGCTGCTTGTTTTGTGCAAAGGGTCCTAAATTGGGAGGTCTGGCTCTGCTTCTAATCCTGGCATCCCCTTGGTGTGACCTTGAGCTGGTTAGTTACTCTCCTCTCCAGGCCCAGATTCTTCCTGTGTAACACATGGCTGTTGGGCTATTGGTGGTTCTGCTCAAATGGCATGGGCCATTTTTGTAATTGTCACAAGGCCTGGGGTTGCCACTCACATTTAGTGGGCAGGGGCCAGGGATGCTAAACCTGCAATGGTCGAGAAGGTTCTACCCCAAGTGCCAGAGGTGCCCTCATGCAGAAAGACCAGTAGGTGGTCTCTTAGGGCCTCCAGGAGTAAATTTAGTGATTCTCTGATTTTTGTGTGTGGCTGGCCAGTACAGGGATCAGAACCGATGACCTTGAGGTTATAAGGCTGTGTTGTAATCAACTGAGCTGACCGTCCAGCCCTTCATTCTCTGGTTTTAATTCTCCCTATAGCTCCCCCTGTGCTTCCTGCTCCCAAAGGATGTGAAAGCAGTTTCTGTTTAGTGCTCCCTGCCTCTGTCACAAGAGACCAGGGCTCCCTTTTGGGGGCAACTGATCTAAACAATGGAAGGGTCACTCTGGCCCTTGGGACCATTCTTGTGGTCTCTCTCAGTTTCAACAGCCACATTGGCCAGCAGCGGCCTGGTACATCCCCCAGGTACTGCATATAAAGCTCGTAATAGCCTATAATGGAGTCTCATGGATATTACATGCTTCCAAATCCCACATTATCTGGTTGGGGGGATTAAAGAGAAGATTGGGAGGGGGTAGGGACACAGCAGGCCCTGGGGCTGGTGTCAGTACACAGAGCCGCGCAGCGTGCCCAATCCATTTGCCATGGCCCCCGCCTACCCAGCATTCGCCACTGGTGAGATAGCAACGCCGGCTCTGCCTCTTCAAAGCTCAGCAGAGGAGAGATGCTGTAGAAATCCCCACTAGCCAGCACAAAGTCTTTTTGTCTGTGGCCCCCAAAAGGAATTCAGGTGGGTTCTTAGGTAATGAAAACTTGCCTAGTAAACTTTTTGGTCAACAAAATATTGCTTCTCGGCCTTTTGGCTAAGATCAAGAATAGTAACAAAATAATTAAGAAGTCACCCAGGTGAATGTTCTTAAGCCCTTTTTACCCACTGCAGCCTGGCTGGGTAGGATCCTGGGATAGGGCTGGCTTAAACCGCACCTAAGCAGATATAACATCAGATCCTTGGTTCAGAAATTCCAGAGCAGCATATTCTAACCCCTGCCTGCAATATACAGCCCTGGTCTCCCATATACTCTGAGGTTTACTTTCCCTTTCTCCACCCTTCCTTCCCTCCTCTCCTTCCTTCCTTCTTTCCTTGAAATAAGAATTCCTTGTACAGGGATGTCCTGTATGGGAAAAATGAACTCATGCCAAGACAATGGGCAAATCTGTTGAATTATGAAATGCTGAGTGATGTTCTAATTCCCAAGCTGTCCTGTGGTGGATGAAGCAGGTGCTCCCCACCCCTAGGAGTAATCAGCAAGTTGATTCTGCCAGTGAATGTAATTGTGCCGATTGTAATCATTTTGCTCCGGCTCTCTGCCCCTGTGGCATTTATTTCTTAGCCCAGATATTGATCTAACAGTGGGAAATTTTCCTTCTGAATTTGTGATGCTGGACCCTCCCCTAGTCTGAAGATGTATTTGGGAAATTCTCATTTTCCGTGGATCACAGCTGAGTTATTTGGCCTGAGGGGAACCATGCACTGCTGGAGAAATGCCTTGGATTGGAGAGAGATTTTTGACCATTATGAGCAAATCGGAAATAAATGTAAAACACTGCCTGGAAATGCAAAGGCCTGTCATTATAGGAGATAGGTGAGAGGCTCCTATGGGAAATGCTTAGAGAATTGGAAATCAGTCAATCAAAACCAGGATCAGAGAATGGGCCTTTTTCCCCCAGTATGAAGATAGATGACTTCCATGGGTAGATTGAAAATCATTTAAGTGCTTATTTTCTTAATGGCTTTTTCTAGATCCCAATAAATAGACTGCTCATTCTGCATCAATTTTTCACCCCTGTGCTTCAGGCCTCCCCCTCCTTTTTTCTGCTCAGACCTAGGCTACAAAGTTTAGGAAGGAGAGGGTGAGAAGAGACAAAGGCATCCGCAGGGAAGAAAATGACCAGGAAATGACAGGTCAGGACTGGCCAGAAGGGCTTGAAGCCAGCACTAGGTTTGCAAGGGAGCCCTAGAAAAGGGCACAGCTCCCAAATCCCCATCAGCTGGGAGTCGGGAGCATCTGGTATGAACTATGCCTTCCTCCAACCCGAGTTGGATCCAGCACTAGGAAAAAGTCATTGAGGATTCCTCCTAAGGGCCTAATGCCTCAGATATGATGTAGGGAGTTGGTGATCAGGGATTTCCACCAGTTACTGTAGTGGGACAGGTGCAGGATGGAGTGGGGACGAATTGGGAGGGGGAGACAGCTCTCCTGCATCTGCCATCTCCCATCCTAGGCTCCAGCTTCCCCCTCTCTGGGTTAAAAGGGCCAGGCAAGCCAGCTCTCAGAGTCACCTTGGGGAAGGGACTTGAATGGGAACTTAGTAATGGCTGCTGTCTTTGTTGGTTTTGGAGGAGCTCTCGCATTTCATCTTCTGCTCAGTGGGCCGAGGTGGAATTGGTTAACAAAGACTGCTCCAGGGAGGGGATGTGGCTGACAAGCCAGACACTTCGCAGACACGGGAAGAAGCAGCTGCAGAGGGGGCCACCAGGTTCTGCCAGCAGCTGTACTGCCTACGGCTGTGATCTTGTCTGATATTGTCAGCTAAGCAGGGGCAGCTTGGGTCAGGAGCTAGATAGTAGGACTCAAAGGCAGAAGGCGGGGCAGGAAAGAGAGGGGCCACAGAGCTGGGCTTTGCTGTTGGTATCAGCATCCTGGCTGTCCACATCACAAAAGATTCAGCCTTGCAATCTGACATATGTGTCATTGTCTGTTCCCAGACTATATGCAAATATTGAGTCCACCCATGTTTAGTATGCCTCTGTCACAGGAAGCAGCAGAACAGAATAAAAAGCACCGGACAACCACCTTAACTACCAACTCCTGAAGGTTTTTTGTCTTTTTTAAGTCTTTATCAAATAGCATTAAGTGTGCTGATATCTATTAGTTATATTATGGTATTGTACTGGTTGTTTTAGAACAACCTGGGGAGAAGTAAGAACCACAAAGATGAATGAATCGTTTAGAAATCAGAATTAGGAGAAAAAGCTAGAGGAATTGGAATGGCTTTTCACCCAGAGGTAGAGCTATATATTTTTTTTATTTTTATTTTTTGACCGGTAAGGGGATTGCAACCCTCGGCTCGGTGTGGTCTGCACCATGCTCAGCCAGTGAGTGCACGGGCCATCCCTATACAGGATCCGAACCCGCGGCCTCGGCGCTCCCAGCACCGCCCTCTCCTGCGTGAGCCACGGGGCCGGCCCGGTAGTGCTATATTCTGATACCACTTCAAGAATGGGAAGTATCTGTCGTGCGTCCTACCAAGTAAAAAAACCAAATAAATTAGTGTGCCTGAGTAAGTTAGGTTAGCCATAAGAAAAGACTTGTTAATAATAGAATAGTAACTACAATAACAATAATACTTAGCATTCTATAGCAATTTAAAGGTTTTTAAAGCACATTCACGTTACTCTTCATTTTTTATAATTGGGTCTGTGAGGCAACAGAATGGTCTTTTAAGAGGGGCTATGATAGTCCCCTGATTTTAAATGTATAGTAGCAGTCTTTTGACCTGGGATGATTTAGCCATGAACTGAGACAGGAGAATGGATGAAGTAACCGGTTTATGGTATCTTCCAGACCAGGAACCAGCAAACTACAATGAAGGCACCAAATCTGGCCTTCTGCCTGTTTCTCTCTGGCCCACAAGACAAGATTGTTTTTATGTTTTTGAATGGTTGACTTTTTAGAAATCAAGATAAGAATAATATTTCATGACACGTGAAAATTATATATGAAATTCAGATTTCCATGTTCATAAATAAAATTTTATTGGATCACATCCAGGTTCATTCGTTTACAATTTGTCTGTGGCTGCTCTCCCATTACAGTGGCAGAGTTGAATAGTTGCAACAGAGACCGTATGGCCCACAAAGCCTAAAATACTTACTCTGTGGTCATTTACAGAAAAGGTGTGCTGACCCCTTTCTAGACTAAGAGTATGGTGATTCTGTGATTTACGTTAATGGGTGAAGACCCTGACTACTCAGCAGCAACCCTCTCATAAGGTTGTGGGGAGAGTGAAATGAGTTATCTATATCAAACATTTAGAACAGCCCCTCATTTCCTATTATAAGCACTAAATAGATGATCCTGATGATGATTTTTCAGGTACTATTCTAACCCATGCTATGGGTCAAATCTGTCCCCCAAAAGTTCATGTATTGGAAACTTGATCTCCACTGTAACAGTGTTAAGAGGATGAGAAATCCAATTATGATATTTGAAAGGTGGGGCCTTTGAGAGGTGATTGGATCAGAGGACTGTGCTCTCGTGAACGGATTGATCCATTCATGGAGTGATGGGTGTGGTTCTGAAGGCTTTACAAGGAGGGCAAGTGAGAGGGTTCGCTCTGTCTTGCTCATGACATATTCTCTCGTGATGTGATACTCTGAGTGGCTGTAGAGAGTCACCACCCAGAAGTCCCTCACCAGCAGATGTGTTCCCTGGACTTTGGACTTCCCAGCCTCTGAGACTGTAATAAATAAATGTTATTCCTTTATAAATTACCCAGTTTCAGGTATTCTGTTACAAGCAACAGAAGCAGACTAACACAGCCCATTACATGCTTATCCTCACAAAAGCCCATGATGTAGATATTATTATTACTCCTCCCTTACAGATGAGAAAACTGAGTCTCACAGAAGTTAAACAGCTTGCTCCAAACCACACAGCTAGGTGTGTCAGAGCTGAGATTTAGAGCCAAGCCTGACTGGTTCCAAAGTCCTTCCATATTCCTGTCCTCCTGCCAAAGAAGAGGATCATGGAATTATGAGAATCTCCTGCCCAAGGGTGCCTGTCCCTGTCTCCTGCCATTCCCCTTGACATCAGTGATTGCCGCACCTATCTGACTCCTCCTGCCATCCTTCCTCCATCACTCAGTGGAGCCAGGATGCAGCTGACCCAACGTAGGTGGAAGGGACTGACATTTATTGAAAGGTGCTAGGCACTGTCCCAAGTATTTTACCAAAGTCTCATTTAATCCTCACAAAGTCCTATGAGAAAAAGTGAGGCACAGAGAGGTAAAGAAACTTCCAAGATCACACAGCTGGCAAAAGGTAGAACTAGGTCAAACCCACGCCCGCCTGACTAGATTCATCTTCCCCTTGAAAGATTTCAGACACTCTCCTAACATCTCTTAGTTGTCTCACTGTCTACTGGGAAAGTGTGCCCTCCAAGGGCACAGTTCTTTCAGCACAAGGCACTCAGTAGTCTTCACAGACAACTGACAGAGAAGGGTCCCCTTGCCAGGGCACCCCTCAGCAAGACACGCTCCTTTATTTGGGTGCTGGGTGCATTAGCTGCTCTGAATAAATCTGTAATTAGCTGCCCTGGCTGTATTTGCATAATGGGTTCACTTTGTTCTTAAGTTAATGGTGTTTTTGCAACAGAACAGTAACCTCTTGGTTCCTGGCCATTAAAATAACTGCCGCCCTGTAGAGTGAGCCAGGGTTTTATAGGGAGTTGAGAGAGAGTCAGGGAGGAGGTGGGAGCAGAGGCAGGTGGTTAAAGGTCCCATTGCACACAGGTTATGCACTTTCTTCCCCAGGAGTGTTTGACAGGTCGTGAGGGGTGTCTCAAAGTGAGAGCCACAGGGCAGCAGGAAAATGCTGCAAGATGGCCTGAGGAATGTCCCCATTTTGTCCCCACAGAAGAAGGTATTCAGAGAGAACGAAATGGATTTATAGGGTCGCTGTGGTGGTGAGGACCAGCATGAAAAGTCACAATACTCATTTGAATATAGAGAATCAAGAAAGCAGCCTCTCTTCTATTCCAACCCCTGCACTATAAGAGCCTCAGAGGACTCCACGGAGGTGGAGATACAAACTCCAGCAGATTCCACGCAGGCCTGCCCAGCTCTGGGTGTCTGCCCCCAGGTCTCCCCAGCAGTTTTCCCTGTACAGCCTCTGCTAGCCTTGGACACATGGTCTGAACCCAGTCCTGACACTCGGAGCCTGGCAGGAGCCAGCAGGACCTGTGGGGTGATCACAGTGACAGGGAGCAGAATGCTTCCCTGAGTCCAGCTCTTCCCCAGGCCCGTGTCCCTCCCATTGCATTTCAGGTGCCGCTTCACACACCAAAAGCAAGCCCAGGTGTGGGGTCCGACGATCCGAGGAAGTCCTCCCCTGCCCACCTGTGCAACTGGGTTCCAGCCTCACGCTCCAGCTGGGCCCAGAGCTGGTAGCACTCGTCCATCATCTGGGTATAGAATTCCTCAGAGTAGGCCTTTCGGATTATCCTGCTCTGTCCATGGGAGCTTCCTCGGGAATGCGGTAGAAAGAACTGGAAGTGGAGGAAAAAAAAAGACAACGGAAGCCTTTGCCTCTTAAGCTGCGCCTGCTTTGGAGCCATCTCATCATGTGCTGTCAACCAGGAGCCACTTATTCTTCAAATATATCCCTACAACCTTTCCAACTTCTCCCTTTGTGGCCAATTTACTGACTTAGTGATCAAGATAGAAGTTCTTCAGTAAAAGTGACTAATTTAAGCTTCCTTTTTGCTAACATCATTCACATCCAGTATCCCCTTTGTTAGCTAGTCTTCAATGATCCTGCTGCAATCTCAGCTCACTTAGACTCATAGAGAGGCAGATTTAGGAAGAAACTTCCAGATCATTCTAGTTTGCCCCCTGATTTTTACGGACAAGGAAACTGACGCTGACTTTATTTCTCTGTGGTTTCAGATCACTCAGGATAAGGGAACCACCTTGGGACTTAGCAAAAAGTTTTCTGAGAGGGTGAACCAGGAATCCCTTGGGCTTTGAGAAAACTGATAGAGAAATGAAGAATGTTTCTAACCACTCTAGCTCCTTACTAAGAAGAATAAACTATAAGCAGCCTGGATAGCTGTCAGCAGAATGGAAAGGGAGGGCCCACTGCAGTAGAAACCTTTGGATGGTGGGCTGGACGGACGTGCCCGGGGAAGAAGGACCCTGCAGATACACAGCCACCCCCCACCCCAATACACACACACATGCAGTGGGCACTATCGACTGTACTGCATGGGGTCACCTTTCCTTTAAGGAAATATAAGACCTAAGTCTTACTTCTTGTACATCAAACAAGGAGGCTGCTATTATGCAGAGGTGGCAGGAAAAACAAGCTTCTGCTGGGTCTGGGGTGAGAGACCAGGAATATGCAGGGAAGAATCCCTGCCTCTTAGGGTAATAAATCAACCTTTGCCTTTAGGCAAAATTACCTTTAGTTAAGGTTACCCAGAGCAGAGCTGATTACTTCTCTGGGCTGGATCAATCATTTGGGCACAGAAGAGACAGGGTGACAAAAAGGAAAAGGACAGGGCCTGGGATACTGCTTGGTCCAGGGCAGGAAGTGGGAGGCAATAAAAGGAGGAAATGTGTCTAGAAACCCAATGTGAGTCTGAGGATGGAACTTTCTTTGAATTATGAAACGCACTAAGCAGCTGAGCTACAAATTGTACTGAATTTCTTATGATTCAGGACCCTGAGCCTTGCCCCATAGCCAGCTGGCTCTGGAAACTCCTCTCTAGGAGAGAGAGAGGGACAGTCCTTAGGGTTGGGAGTGCGGAAGGGACACAGTACCTGCTCCAGCAGGAGAACCCTCTTCCTGTTTTTGGCCAGGTGGTAGGCAGTGAAGCAGCCCTGGATGCCCGCCCCAATCACGATGGCATCCCACAGATCTTTCTGAGCAGCCATGGTGCCCGCTTAGTCAGCCCTACAGCCTCAGAGCCCACAAAGGAGAAGGCAAGCAAGGGCAGCTCCTGGCTGGAGGAGGAGGAGGAGGGGGGCAAAGTCCAGCCCCGCCAGAGATCCCACAATCCCCTGGGGCTGGGGCCATGTCCTGTCCCTCACTCCCTTTCTCCCTGCAAAGCCTGGCACAGGGCTCAGCCGGGCCTCCCCTGCAGAGCAGATCTGGTTGGTCTGATTTGTGAGGTTTAGCCCAGCTCAGCTGCCAGCCTCACCCTTGCATCCCTCTAGCTTTCTATTCTTGGCTCAATTATTGTCATGCAAATGGGCTCCTTCCTATGCCACCTTCCTGTCTCATTATGATCTTTGTCTCAGGACTTCGGCCTTGGAATTTCAATGCCTCCCAGACCAAGCTGGGCACCAGGAATGCTGCCTCCCCCTGCTGGCTTTCCTCTCTTCAGCCTGATTTCCTTTAGAGATTCTAGAGGGCCAAGCTAAGAACTGGGCATGATGCCCAGGATAAGGCCCACCTCCCTGGTGGGTGGTGAGGTCGGGGGTAAACGCAGAGGCCAATTGGGAGGGCAGTTTTGTGATTATGAAATTATTCTCAGCATGTTTTACTTTCATTTTGAAAAAAGGAGACGAAATTATCCTGAAAATATGGAAAGGGCAGAGCGAGAAGAGGAGCCCTCTCAGCAGACACAGAGAAGGGACCAGGCACCAGCCTGGAGCACAGAGGGGTCCTGTGTCAAGCATCCCTCATGCCTGGCAGTGTGCAAAATAAATGCTGTTACAGGCACGCAGGACAGAGCCAGAATTTGTAGGGCCTGATTCTTACACAATTTGGGGGTCATCTTTAAGAAAAAGAAAAAGAAGAATTATGAATACAAAATTAGGTGCCAGGACTTGGAAGAGACTGTTCAATTAAGGAGCCCCGTGGTTGACATTTCATTAGCTTGATGGCAAATCTTCTTCTGCATGTGTTATCTTACTTAATCCTCACAGCCCTAGGAGTAAATATTTTTATCCTCACTTTTGGCAAATTGAAGATGGCTCCAAATTCTTTGTCACTCCTCCCACCACAGGCTCCATGATTGCTTGCCCAACAGAATATGGCAGAAGTGATACCGTGACACCTTCTGGCCCAGACCTCGAGAGACCAGCAGCTTCCTTTTTGTGTCCTGGAGTACTCACTCTTGGAGCCCTGAGCTGCCATGTTAGAAGTCCCACCACCCTATAGGAGAAACCATGCAGAGACAGAAGAGTGACACCATCTTGGACCCTCCAATCCAGCCCAACCACTACCTAAATACCACTGAGTGACCCAGATAATGCCATGTGGCCCAGAAGAATCACCCAGCCAAGCCCCCTCTGAATTCCTGACCCCCAAATTTGTGAGATAGAATAAAATGTTTTGGTTTTTTTTTTAGCCACTAAGTTTTGGGATGGTTTTTTACACAGCGGAAACACCTCTTTACAGCCAAGGACATTAGGCTTAGAGAGGTTATGACTTGCCCAAAGCCACACACCTGGTACACATAGACACTGAGATGTGAGCATAGGTCTGTCTTCTCCAGAACCTATTCCTTTAACCATTGTGCTATACTGAGGATTAGTCATATCTTGTAATGATGATTCAATATTTTGCAATTTCTGTCATGGCTGTACTGTGAGTGGGAGAAAATGAGGTCCAGGAAGCCCATTTGACTACAAAGAGCTGCCCAGCCCCAGCATGGTGGCCCTCGGTGGCCCCCAGAAATGCTTCTCATTCCACAACTAATCCCCCCCAGTGGCCTTGGCAATTAACTGTCCCCACAGCCCAGCCCTTCCTTTCCTAGGAAAATAGGGGCCCAGAGAGGGGGTGCCATCTGACCGGCTTTATTTCCTTCTGGAAAAAAAGAAATCACCTGAGTCCAGAAGTCATCTCAACTCCATGCCACCCCCACCTTACACGGGACAGGACAGTGTCCACCTCACAACAATTGGGCAGCTCCCTTAGAGTAAAAAATGGCAGACGTAACTGAGAAAAATGTACCATTTAAGTATTTAAAGGCTTGATATAAATATATAAGGTCAGCCCCCAGATTTCTCCTGATAAGATGTCAGAGGAGATGAACAGTTTACACACAAGGAAGAGTGGATGATAAATCCTCCCGTGGAAGTGTGCCTGGTCTCACTAGCAATGGAAGAAATGGGAATTAAATAACTTTAAGGTACTAGTATGTGCCTATTAAGTGAGCAAAAAGACATAAAAATGACAAAATCTTATGTTATCAGTGCCAGGGGGACGGAGATAGAATAGGGTGGCAATTCGGATTATCTGGGTCATCTGGAGGTGGCTGAAACCTTGTACAATGATCAGGGTAAAACGCTCCAAACCTTCTGACCTAGAAATTCTAGACGGGGAATCTCTCCAAGGGGAGAAAAAGGCATTTGTACAAAGACATTCATATCTGAGCTTTTATAATATAAAAAAATTGGAAACATCCTGACAACAGGGACTAGCCGGACAAACCCTGGCACGCTGTGACACAATAGAGCGCTGTGACACAATAGAGCGCTGTGTAAAGCCTGGCGACTCTGGAAGTGCACATATGAGATGATACTGAGAAAGAGAAGCAGAAGTCACACATGCGCACGGGCTGATCACAACTGTTGTGTGTGCGTGTTATCAAAGATCTGAAGAGAATTTGTGAGGCAATTAGCCTAATGCTCATTAGCTTCCATATTCTATACAAATTGCGCTTCCATCCACGATTTGTAAAAGGAGGAGAAATCCCCTGGGGGAGCAGGTGCTTCACATCCCCCTGGTTGCTGGTTACAGGGCCTGGGGAAGTTCGTTCTTTGTACTAATCTCAGTTCTTCCTGCCGCCCTCAACATTTCTTACTGTTCAGTCCTCCAGGGAAGCTGCAAAGCGCCTCTGTCCTCCCTTCCCCCTTTTGTTTAATATAATATCCCTTCGGAGATAAAATGACAATTCCATTTCCCCATTCCTACTTCACAAGCCTGCCCTGGATTCCTGGACTCAAGCATTCTGCTTCTTGTTAAGAATTTCAAGCAGCTCCTCTGAAAGCAGACACTGGCCATGGCCCAACCTTGAAATGAAAGCAAATCGGCTCCCAAAGGCCTCCCCGTCCTTGTGCATGTCCTGGCAGGGGCAGGCAGAGAGAAGGGATCCACTCCAGTTCCATTTTAACACCCATTCTGGATCGGAAGACTATTAAAGGAGACCCAGCAGCCCTACACCTTGCTGCTTATGTGTGTCAGCAATCGTGGCTCATGTCCTGGGGCAGAGACACTGAAGATGTGAGGCTGTGCTGCTGATCTGATGGCTTGATTGACACTTTGCAGATGGGGGCGGGAGAGCTGAGCCAGGGAAGCAGCAAGCTGTACAGAACAGAAATAATGAGAGGACCCAAATCGAGAGAGAGGTGGAATAAATAGGAGAGACCTAGGAGTTGAATGGCGAGGGAGAGGCTTCTGTTCTCTTTTCCCTGCCCTGCTTTGCCAAGGAGCTGGAGCCTGGGGCTAGGAGGCAGGCAGGGAGGCAGGCAGAGCAGGAAGGGCCCCTCTGGACCCATCCTGCCAGCTGCTGGGGGTGTCTGGGGCCCTGAATGTGCAGAGGACGCCAGCGTGAGAAAACGGAGAGCGCGGCAGAGCAGGCTTTGTGCATGGTCTCCATACATGTCACCACCACGCTTCGTGTCTCAAGGTTTAACCCTTGCTCCTCTGTCCCTGCTCCCTTTGCCCCAGTCATCCGTCCGCTTCTGACCTCGATTATTGCATTAACCTCCTAACGCATCTCCCACCCCATCCTTGCCCTCCCCATTCCCACCACAGTCATCTCTCTAAACTGCAAATCTGAACAGGTCACTCCCCGCTGAAAATTCTTTGACAGCTGTCCCTTTCCTATTAGGATAAAATCCAAATTCCTCACCTTGGCACACAAGGCGGTTCATGTACTGGCCTCTGCCTGCTCCTGCAGCTCCATCGTACGTCCCTTCTCACTGTGCTCTTTATACTCTGGCAACGCTGAGCTAAGTAAGAGAGGTTCCAGCGTTCACTACACTTATTCCAAATTCTCTGACACCTCCAAGCTGATTTAGGTTACCTCTTTCCTATACTCCCTTCCCACCCTGCAGAGTCTCAATGATAACAATGAGCATATTGCATTGTAATTGTTTGCATGTCTGCCTTCCCCTGAGCTCCTTAAGGGGAGGGAGTCTTCTTTTCATCGTGATTTTTCCTAGGTAAGACATACATATGGAACAACAATGAAGTGTACAAAAGAGAACACCTGGAAAAGAAAGTCTCCTTTCCATTCTATCGTCAGCACCTAGTTCTCCTGATCAGATGCAACCCTCTTGCTATTTCCTTTTGTGTCCCTCTGATGATGTTCTCTGGGTATACAAACACTTATACAGTGTATTCTTTTTTTAATCTCAAAAGTAGCCTACTTTTTGGGCCGGCCCCATGGCGCACTTGGGAGAGTGCGGCGCTGGGAGCGCAGCGACACTTCCGCCACGGGTTTGGATCCTATATAGGGATGGCCGGTGCGCTCACTGGCTGAGCACGGTGTGGGTGACACCACACCAAGGGTTGCGATCCCCTTACCGGTCACGCAAAAGACAAAAAAAAAAAAAAAATGTAGCCTACTTTTTTACACCTTGATGCTTTCATTTTCTTTATTTTGGCAATCCACATCAGTCACATGGAGCCAGTTCATTCTTCCTGATGGCTGCATAGTATTCCATGGTATAGACGTGGCATTGGGGACAGAGAAGGTGCCCATAAATATTTGCTGATGGATGGTGGGTTTCTCTGGCTACACACGGGCGCCCTAGACTCACAGGGCTCTCTAGCAGTCTGGGACTGGGTGTCCCAGGGGGCAAAATGCCTCTTCTGGGCTGGCCCAGCAGGGTTCATCAAAGGCTGACGGTGCCCTCTGTGAGCTGCCCAGGACGGTACCCACCTTGAGACCAGGAGGTAGGGGTGGGAGTTGGACACCCAGAGACCGTGGCTTCT